AAAAGGAAGAATTTATTCAAAGCAACCATATAATGAAGGAATCCCATTAACTCGGTTAGATTTGTGCGGAGATACCCTTTGTAGTTTGATTCTTGTAATCAACAGCTTGGTTCATATTCATACCATATTCATACCTACTTGTTGCACCAAATTTACACTAAGTTACAGGGTATTTAAATTAACTGTATACAGTTGATAACTTATTTTATTTATGTCTATGCCATTTCGTTTTTATTCATGTCTTTTACTGATATAGTAATCTGGAAAGCACATTGGTCTTTTATTTATGTTTTCCATTGATATATGGTAATTTGGGAATTGGGAGGTACATTTGTCTAAGAGTAAGAGTAACTTTACACTCCAAATTAATAATAAATTTAATTTTACTGACAAAGGAAAAACAAAAAGAAGTTGATATGTCATCATTCAAAAAAAAAAAAAAAACAGCTGGTAGTTTTTTTTTTTTTTATTAATCTCTCGGTATCCAATAACTATATTGGGTCCAACTAATTCGAAATTGAACCGCGTTGAATTCCATTAGGAAGGAAGCTCTCCCAACGTTTTTTTTTTTCATTAACAAAACTCAAACTCGAAATCTTATTTAGAAAAACCAAACTCCTTTCACTTGAACCAATGAGTTGTTGGTAAAAACAGCTGGTAATTAATATAATCCAATTAACCTTATAATCCGTCCGATTAAAATTAGTAAAGTTAAAACAAATACTCTCATATGATGACAATCATCTTGAATTCCCTTATTCAACCTTTCAACATGCCACATGACTAGCACAAAAGACATTCTTCCAAAGACATGATATATATTGCACCAAGTCATTCGCAGCACACTTAAAAAGAGAAAAAGAAAAAAAGAAGCGATACTTAGATTATGTTTGTTTTGCTCTGATTGAGAACTCTCATAAACTACTTAAAAATCAAAGAATAGAATCAGCTTCAAAGTAAATTTTCGGGCATTGTATAGTAATTGTGGAATTATTCACTATAGAGATCGTTGTTCACTGTTAAGGGTCCTGGATTTTTTGGCACCATACTCTTTGCAGCATTATTCCCTCCTACCAACAAGAGATTGACTTAGTTGGACCCATTAATATAAAAAAAATTGATTTGGAGTTAAAGTCAAGAATTTGAATTCTTGTAATACCAAGCATTTAACTCTTAATATGTATAAAAGAAAATTCCCTTGCATGAACCAAAAAACTACCTCATTTGTTTGGTTGGAAATAATAATTATTCCCTAATTACACTATAAAATAAGGTTAAATTGATAAACTTTTTTAAGAATTGGAAATATGTATTTTTTACCATTATTTCTATTAAATTAAATTAAGATATGATTAATGAATACCTATATCATGGGGAGGTGAGGAATAAAAATTCCTTAATTAATCATACATAATTTATTTATTTATTTATATTTTAGTTTGAGTAGCATAATGAGAGACAACCCATTTCTTATCTCTCAATTAACCTTACTCATATATATATATATATATATATGCACACGACTCAAAATTAGGATCCCATACCCCATTTTAAAGGGGAGATTACAAATAGCTAATATATAACTATATTTGTGACCATTCGCCTCAACTCCATGCGAGATGTGGGGTGACAATAAAAATGCTAAGATGAATAAACCACGAATCATGGCCATTTAGTCCTCCCTTGGTAAAACACATGAATTGTAGGGACTCAATTGTTAGTTTTTGACGGTAGATATCTAATTGTTAGCTTTCCAAAATGTCAAGAACTGCCAATGACATTTAAGGGATTGTTTGGATTAACTGTTTAAGTACAACTGATAGTTGATAATTAAGATATCCGACGACTAATAATTGTTGTTGTTTATAATTTAAAATATTTAATTTATTTGATTAGAGCCAGTAGTTTATAGCTATTTGCAAATTTTGCAAAAGGTTTGAAACAAACACCCCTTAAATTGATAGAAAAACATTTATGAAGCCAGCCACAGCAGCCTGTTCAACACCAATGAAAAATCAAGGAATAGAGAATCGGCTTAAAAATCTGACAATGCAACCAAACATGACAATATATAGGAAAGGGTACATATATTCAGATCAGTCTCATAAAAATCAAGAAATGTTAAAATACAGCAAAATAAAATATAAAAATTGGGAGTCCCAACACAACTGATTAGCCAAACAAGCTATAGAATTTCAACCTAGAGGGGAAACTGTCACAAAAGATAAATCAATGTTCTTGTGAATTGACCAGCCAAGGCTTCATTTTCCTGTTAAAGATTCCCCAATGTGTTGAGACAATAATTTCACAAATAAGGGGAAACTGCAACCATCCAAAAACCACAATTGGAATAATAGAGCCCAAAATTATGATAATTTGCTCCCACAAGTGAACTTGTAGCGTAATCAAAAGAGCAGCACAAAAGCCGGCCATTATTGTTGCAATAGAAACAAAAAGAGTGATAAGGCCGATCATCAACATTCGGGGTAAGGACACATAAAAATCTTCTTCATCTTTGCGGGACGTTAGGATTCCCAAAAACGTTAAACCTGAAGTAGATGCAGAAAAGAAGGATATTGCATCGGTTATTATAAATATCTTAAATAATTTTTTGCCTGAGAGTATGGGTAACCCAGTAGTCTGATTGTTGCCTCCTGGGACAGTAAAAGAAACAGCAAACGTGACAGTAACAAGGAGAATACTGAGAATAATAAAAGAACTTGCTGTGTCTGCCATCCATTTCTGCCCCTCTTTCACTAATTCCTTGTGGCTCTTGGTAAATACATCCTTAGGGGTTTGATCATTATTATTTTTAGCTTCCTTGCACCATTCTGGAACAATGCTTTCCACCGCCTGCATCCATTTCACAAAATTAACTAGATGTTAACATTTTTTATGAATTAAGTTTCATTCCTAGAATAATTTTTTTTTAAAAAGCACATATTATATAATACAAACTTTTGATCTTGTAGCAAATCTCACTTATATATAAAAGAAAATTAAAAGAATCATCATAGTTGAGGGAGCAACTGAGAGATGATGACCTTAAACCACTGTAATTCTCTCTGTATCTGTAATGCTGGGCTACTAGAGATTCCAGCACGTTCAAAATCAGGAGCCAACCCCCCTGCAATATGTAGAATATTGTTGCCATCTATATCTTTTTTGTTGATATGTCCAGCATTCCATGCCTGATTAACGCCATAAATGAGGTTGAAAACTTTTTCTTGACGATGTTGGACTGCGACCATGAAAAAGAGTCTTCCATCAATATTAGTTTTGAAACCAAATGATGGGTTGGCTTTGCATAGTTCAGTGACAAATTCTTCCACTCCGTGCTTGGTAGCTTCAAAGAGTGCAGCACCCACTCCAAAATCATCACGCTCATGATTCAATTCTAAAGCTGATACATACTTACACATACTGAGAAGAACCTCATTTGCAAGGTGATGTCTCAACTTCAAATCGCAAATTTTTTTGATTCCTACATAATAAAAATAAGTGGAATAGAAGATTTACAAGTAGAAATGCTAAAATTTTAAGGAAAAAAAAAAAAGAAAAAAAAAAAAGGAAAGGTCCAGTAGTTGAGGTTGGGGAAGTCACCGGTGAGCTCATAGACCTTTAAACCCAATCTATGAAATCCAACAAATATGGATACTGCAATAATGATAATTAAACTGTTATAATTACATAAAATTAATCTGAAGTGCACATAAAATAAGTTCAATTTTCTGCTCTCAAACAAGGAAATGATATTTGTATCTTCATTTGAGAAGTTAATATATGGTATATACCTTGTTTTCTAATGTTCCTTTCGTCGTGACTTTGGTCAAAAACATCAAGTTGTACGTCTCCGGTGGGAGTGGTGGATGTCGTTGGTAATTCTACCTTTACGACTTCAATACATTAATTGGATCAATAGCCAAACACAAAATTTAAAAATTAATTAGAGTCTATAGAACTAGGAATTAATATTGATATTGAGTATGTTTCTTACAATTATACTGCATTATATATTTTCTCAGATTCTTGAAAACATGAAATGGGCTGGGATACTTCTTGTACCTCAATAATAAATTTTTTTTCTTTATTGATAAAAAAAAAAAAAAAACCAAAAACAGAACACTTACGGTTGTGATAAATCCATCGTTCCCAACATGAAAGCTCAGTCCTGGTTCCACTATAAAATGCAGAAGGTTGACTGGACAACATTAAAATTGGAGACACTCCCTGCGTATCAAGGCCAACAGCCAAACTTGGATATCTTCTAAGTAGATGCCAACAAATATCTAGTTTTTCAAAATGTAGAAGAAAAGCTAAAGAAGTTACTCCTAAATTCCACCAACACATAATAAAATAGTTGACGTAAAAATTTTATTATTCTTACCGAACATTTTGTTAGCAATACAAGAGCGCAGGAGATGGAATCCATGATTGCCTTCTTTTCCTGGTTGCAAGATATTGTCATGACGAGAGGTTTGGATGTAGTTAAGAGTTTCATCGTAGAGGTAGTGTGTCATCTCCTCGCGGCCATAATTAGCTGCTCTAGTAAGCGGAATATTGCCTACTTTGTCTGCAATGGTAAGCAAACCTTGGTTCTTTTGAACTAATAATTCTGCCCATTCTTTTCTTCCCTCAAATGCAACTAAGGAGAGAGCCGTGTGACCATTGCAATCCATTTTCTCCAGTTCTGGTATTGACATCATCTCTATCAATTCCTTGACAATCTTATCTTGCTCGGCCTTGATTGCAACGTGAAGAGCAGTTTCCTCAAATCCTGTAATTTGTGGAAATGTAATTCGACCCTTGTCAAAAATAAACTCTCTTACATCTTGCCAATCTCCTTTGTAAATTTTCTTTGTCAACTTTAGCCAGTAAGGTCTATTAATTTCTTCTCCTGCATGCAAATATTTAAGATATCAATATGAATTAAATATATATATATATATCAAAGTATAATCAATTACTGATACGTTAGAAGACAGTATAGTTGGGATTCTCTTCAAATCTATAGATATTACCTCCGCTCGACCTCTCTTGGGGTTCCCCCTCTTCCGGTTCCCGCTCTTCTGGCATTTTAGCTAAATACTTCCAGGCATCCTTGGCCGACGTGTCCTTTATTTGACTAGAAATATCTAGTGAACAGCTACAAAGAATTGCATGTAGAGCTGCAGCATTCTTTTTCCTCCAATTTCCCTCCAGAATATTCCCATATTCAACAATGTCCCAAAGATCTTGAGCCAGTAAATAATTTTTAATGTAAAATTTCCAATTTTCATAATTTTTTTTATCCTTTTCAAGAAGAAAAGGAACAATTAATGTAGTCCTTGAGTTGATGGAGCTCATGGTCATTTCAAATCTGCTAAATTAAACCATAAAAAATAAAATCTTAATTAGATCATAAGATCTAACATTTCCTTCCAGCTGTATATAAATGATCCAAGACTCGATTATGCAAGCAAACTTTTTGATGAATATCAAGTAAAATGCCCAGCCATAAAGCCTTAATAAATCATTCAAAGAATAAAGTGCAAAAGAATAGAAAACTAGCTAGCGGTCAGGGCCGTCGATTTATGGGGCCAGGGATGGTTATGTTCTGTCTTAAGCTAGTTTTTGTGTTGGTGTCGGAATGCCACTTGTAAGAATAAGAATTTTGTGTCTATACAAGTTGAAATACCCCCTCAACTCCCTAGTTATAATAAATGATAAATCTCAATTTCTGGTGAAAATTAATAATAATAATAATAATAATAGGAAATTAACTAGGCAATTGGCATAATTACCTGATGAAGAATATGTGAGTGAGATGAAAATTTTATGGAGGGATGATTAGAGAGAGCAGCATCAACCGAAGGGGTGAGAGAACAGCATCCAGCAATGGGTGAGGGGGATGGTTAGCTAGCGTTCTTGTGAGTTTGTCTATAAACTATACCGTTCAGGCTTAAATTACTGCTGTATTTATAAAGAGAGCAGGTGATCATTTGTTCCTTGCTTAGCAAATACTAAAAGAAACGAATGGCCGTACAAATTTAAATTATTCGAGGGCCCAAAATGATCACACAAATTTAAATTATTTGAGAGATGAAAATGACCAGATGAATTTAAGTTATCCGCAACACACGTTAAAAAAAAAAAAAAAAAAAAAAGAAAAAGAGAAAGAAAAGTGGAAAGCTAGATTCTATTTATTTTTCCCTGAGAGCTCTATACTTGACTACTTAATAATCAAAGAACAAAATCAGCTCCAAATTTGGTATTATTCACTCTAGAGGTATTTCACTTTTAAAGGTCCGAAGACTTTGTTTCACCCAAGCTTCATCTTGGTCATGGATAGGTCACCCAGCTTATGGTCCACAAGCAGTGACAATTGCCTTATGAAGACTCGCTTTCTCTACGGCTCTGGTGGGTTCCCTTAACCAAGCCACTGCCTATGAGTGGCCGGCTCATTCTTCAACAAGCACGTAGTTAGAGCCCTGGCTCCTCCTACAGCTTGGGAGCTTACGGTTTCATGTTCTATTTCACTCCCCGACGGGGGTTCTTTTCACCCTTCCCTCACAGTACTAATTCGCTATTGGTCACCCAAGAGTATTTAGCCTTGAGAGGAATTTCAAAAAAAACAAAAAGTAAAAGGGTTTTAGGTGGAGTACTCTTAACATTTATTGAGGATTGTTTTGCATCCTCCTTGGATGAAAGATCGTAAATTTTCTGGTGCCTTAACATCTCCAGTGATGGTATTATTCTCTCCGATTTCCCAAAACACCACATCAAATTATTTAACTAGCGTATGACATACATGACCCCAGATTCCGGGTTCTCCTCAGCCTAGCATGCATGAATTTTGAAATTCATTATGTTCTGGTCCGATAAGCTTATTTAAGCCCAATTTCAGAAGTAAGGTTTTTTGGTTGGAGATTCTGCTTAAATAGGCTTGCCACAAAAAGTAATTTACAAAGAAGGGGGGTGATTTTGCAAGGGGAGGAGTTGCTTGTGTGGTTTGTGATGGAGGAGAGCAACCATTTATTTTGTATGTATGGAGAAGCATGGCTGGTGTGGATGAAGGTATTGAAGTGGTGGGGTATGGAGGGGGTGTTGTCGAACACTGTGAGGGAGGTGGCTAAATTATTTTTGTTTGGCTTAGGGAGTAAAGAATTATTGAGGCTGAATTATTGCTTCATTAGATTATAATCAAGGTATATATACAAGACGTATAGAAGTATATTAACACTTCTAACCCTATACTATGTACACGTGTATTATATACATTATCATGCCCCTGCAATTTGAATGGGAGAGCAAAAGACACTCAAATTGGACCTTTGAGATCGGATAAGAGTAGAAGAGAGAGCCTTAGAGTCTGTTTGTTGTGATTGGTGCTTTTGATGAAAGTCCTGTTGGAAAGAATTTGTTATAAAAGTGCTGTTTTTGAGAAACTGAAAGTATTTGATAAAATATTTTATGAAAGTACTTGTAGAGTGAAAAGTTGTTTGATAAATTTTTTTGTAAGAGATCTTTTAATATTGAAATGACTAAAAAGGACATTTTCTTTAAAAAACCATTGTTTCTCTTTTTTTGATATTTTTATAGAGTTTTAATTTTTTTAATTTACTTATGTTAAAATTGATTATTGCAAATAAAATTTTTTATTTATAAAATATAACTATTAGTAATTAATAATTTTATACTAATAAATAAATAAATATTTATATTTTAATATTAAAATAGTTTTATAAACAAGAGAATAAAAATAAAAATTGATAATAACAATTACCTTAGCTTTCCATTAAAAATGAAAAGAACACTATCTTTAAAAAAGCATTATTTCTCGCTTTTTAAAAAATTTTAATTATCAAGAAATCTATATCATTTATCAAGAATTCTATAATTATTTTTATTGAAAAAAAATATCTAAATACATCATGGTATCATATATATAATCAAAGTCTTAATGCTAGTCTAGTAACCAAAGTACTCTAAAAAAACCAATACAATATGATTTACTAAACAAATCCTCACTTTCAGGATCAAGTGCCCAACCAAACCCAAAACCTACAATATTCAAAATTAAAAGTTTGGGGACTAAAATTAAAAAAATATGCAAATAAAAATGTTAACTTTATATTTTTCTCTATTTAAAGATATTAACTTTATTAATTTCTAATTAAGAATCTTAATTTTTAATTTTTTTCTATTAAAAAATGTCAACTTTCAACTTAATTTATTTAAAAATGTTAGTCTTTTTAAAAAAATACGTTTGTTATGTCAATATTACCATTCAATTAATCTTTATATTAAAGAATTAAAAATTAATATTTTTAAATAGGAAATATTAAAATTTAATATTTTTAAATAAAAAATAAAAAATTAATATTTTTATGTAAAAACTAATAAATTTAACATATTTAAATAAAAAATATAAAATTAATATCTGTATTTATACTTTTTCTCATTTAAATTAAGATTTAACCTTGACAAAACGAGTGACTAACTGGACTAAGCAGGATGCTTGTGTTTGCTTGCTAAAAAATTGACTGGGCTGGATAACCACCGTCATTAAACGGCCCACCCAGTCCAACCTTTACAAACTAGTCAAACCCGACCCCAAGAGAACCAAACCTCTCTCTTTATTCACTGAACCTCGAACTCAGCTCAGGATTCCGAATCTCACCCTCGTCTCCAAATTAACCTCAACATCTTAGCTTTTATTCAAACTCCCCTTCTTTTCCCCTGTTGATATCATCCGAGCTCTCTGGGTGTTGAAGTTGGAGAATTCAGTCTTCCTCTAAAAACCCTAATTCTCATTCCTGTTTTTCAACAAGTAATCTCTAATTCAGATGTCGCCATCCATGGTTGGCCATGTAATTAGATATGTAGTAGAAAGCGCTCTCCGCGCTTTTTTGTGGGTAGAGTTGGTCGCCGTTATAGATCTTCTTCCCAGCAACTCTTTGTCGGCATTTGTTAACATTTCCTCTAGTAATATCATCTCCGATTAAGTAAACAAGTAAGCAGGTTTCTTCTATTTCCATTTTATCCTAATCTGAATCCCTCTCAATTTCTTATTAGGTTCATGATGTGATGAAAATTTTTTGTGGAAAAAACTGTTTTCTGATTTGCTTATGTGTAAAATTTTGTTTACTTTTTGCTGGAACTAGCTCATTTTAGCCATTTAGAGTGCTTCATGAGTTCATAGATTTTACTTGACCTTAATTCGTAGTTTGGTGATGAAAATATGCTTTACAGTTTGTTAAGACGTCGGCTATTGGTTGGGTACAGGCCTACAGGGGATTGAAACAATAGGCGCCTTTTCTCTTGTAGGGGAGGAAGATATTTGAAATATATTCATATTTCAAGACTATAACCATCCATGCTTTCTGGCCAGAGCAACCGGTTCAACACCATTGTAAAATCAAAGAATAGAATCTGCTTCAAAGGCAATGAGAAATCTGTGTTAATATTAATAATCAAGTAATAAACGTTTACATGTGAAACTGACGCCCCCTATCTAACTTGAGGTTTGATACTGATATGAGGCACAGCCAGTACATATCTTCATATATATTTCAAGACATCATCAATCTTGTATGCTAGGAAATTAAAAAGCACAAGAAATCTGAAAATGCAACCAAACCAGACATGACCATATATATAGAATGTTTTACACAAGGGAATGTACATGTATTAAGATCACATCACAGTCTCATCAAAAGCAACATATCTTAAAAAACAACTAAATAAAACACAGAAATTAATGAGAGTTCTGGCAGAACTAAACGAAGTACCAAAACAATAAGCTATAGAATTAATTTCACCAAGAGAGGAACTGCTTAACCAAGGTCACAAAAGATGGATCAACTTGCCCTTCAACTGATCAGCCAACGGTTCATTTTCTTCTTAAAGATTCCCAAAGCATATGTTGAAACAGAAATTTCAACAAGGAGGGGAAATTGCGACCATACAAAAAGCGTAACTGGAATGCTAGCCATTGAAAGTACGAGAATCACTGCCCACCGTTGAACTTCTAGCACAATCAAAAGAGCAGCACAAAAGCTAGCCATCATTGTTGCAATAGAAACAAAGAGGGTGAAAAGGCCAATCATCAACTTCTTGGGTAAGGACACATGAAAATCTTCTTCAGCTTGGCGCGACGTTAGAATTCCCAAAAACATTAAACCTGAAGTGGATGCAGTAAAGAAGGATATTGCTTCGGTTATTATAAATACCATAAATAATTTTTCACCCAAGAGTACGGGTAACCCTGTTTCCTGATTGTTGCCGCCTGGAACAGTAAAGGCTACCGCAAACATGATGGTAACAAGGAGAATACTGACAATAATAAAAGAACTTGATGTGTCCCTCATCCATTTCGCCCCCTCTTTCACTAATTCTTTGTGGCTCTTGGTAAATACATCCTTGGGGGTTTCACCATTATCATTTTTAGCTTCTTTGCACCATTCTGGAACAATTTTTTCCACCTCCTGTATCCATTTCACAAAATTAGATGTTCATATTTTTCTTATGAATTTAAGTTTCATTTCTAGAACAAAATAAAAAAGAATTACGTACATAGCATCTGATATAAACTTGATATTGTAGTCAAATATCTCACTTCACTTAGATATAAAAGGAAACTTAAAAGAATTATTATACTATTAAAGAATTTTACAGGGAGCAAGTGAGAGACGACGAAATGACCTTAAACCATTGTAGTTCTCTTTGCATCTGTAATGCTGGACTGGAGATTCCAACACGTTCGAAGTCAGGAGCCAACCCCCCTGCCACATGTAAAATATTGTTCCCATCAGAATCTGATTTATTAAGATTTTCAGCCTTCCATGCCTGATTAACGCCATAAATGAGGTTGAAAACTTTTTCTTGACGGTATTGGACTGCAACCATGAATGCCAGTCTATTATCATGATTAGTTTTGAAACCAAATGATGGGTTGGCTTTCCATAGCTCAGTGACAAATTCAACTATTCCCTGCTTGGTAGCTTCAAAGAGTGCAGCACCCACTCCAAAATCATCACGTTGATGATTCAATTCCAAAGCTGATACGTGTTTACACATACAGCGAAGAACTTTAAGTGCATAGAGATGCTTCAATTTCAAATCATAAATTGTTTTGATTCCTGTACATGTATATCAAGTCAATAATCAATCAAATATATAAAAAGTATAATAGTGAAGATTTACAAGTAGAAATGCAAACGTCAATGAATTAAAAACTGAATCTCTATATTTTATCTAATATTATATAATTTTATTATCTGATATATATATATATATATATATCTATATATTAAAAAAGCTAAAACTGTAAAAAAAAATTGATGAGAAGTTACCAAAGAACTCTTGAACCTTTAAACCCAATCCATGAAATCCGTTAAATACTGCAATAATGTTAATTAACCCGTTATAATTACATAAATAAACATGAAATGCACTTATATAAGTTCAGTTTTCTGCCTTCAAACATGGAAATATGATAGTTCTATTCGAGAGTAATGTAACTATAACTAATGTCTCCATTTGAGAAATTAATATATACCTCGTTTTCTAATGTTCTTTTCGTCGTGGCCTTGGTCGGTAACAACAAGTCGTACTTCACGATTGGCAGTGGGGGGTAACTTGGCCTCTAACCCTTCAAGACATACATAATAGTGCTGATTAAATGGATTGCACATTCATTTGATCAAAAGCCAAACAACGAAATTTAAAAATTAGTCATGTATAAAAATGGGAGTATATTGATGCTAACTATGTTACTTACAGTGATAAATCAATCGCTGCCAAATTGAAAGCTTAGTCCCACTTAAAAATGCAGAAGGTTGACGCGACAACATAAAAATAGGAGACTCTCCTTGTGTATGGACGCCAACAGCCAAACTTGGATATCTTTTGAGTAGGTCGAAACAAATATCTAGATTTTTAATAAGTAGGAGAAATGCTAAACAAGTTATAACGAACTCTCCCCTTGGATTCTTACTAGGACACAATAAAATAGTACTCCTTGTCTTTTTAGTTGTGCTAATGCCTCAACTTTATATAATATAACTTGATGATTTTATATAGTAAATAAATAATAACTGAAAAATTTTTTTGATCCAAGTGAAAATACTAAAAAAGACGTATATAAAAAAAATTTTATTGTTATTCGTTTATTATTATTCGTTTATTATTTAAAATTATTTAGTTAAATTTCATCTAAAATTCGAAACTGAAATAACTAAATCTTACCAAAAGTAGTATGTAAAATTAAAATTTTAGTATTCTTACCGAACATTTTGTTAGCAATACAGCAACGCACGAGATGGAATCCATGATTGTCCTGTTTTCCTGGTTCCAAGAAATAACTAGGGGTTTCATTGTAGAGGTAGTCTGTCATCTCCTTATGGCCAACACCACATGCCCTCGTAAGTGGGATATTGCCTGCATTGTCTACAATGGTAAGTAAATCTCGGTTCTTTGGGACTAAGATCTTTGCCAAGTTTGTTCTTCCCTGAAATGCAACATAGGAGAGAGACGTGTGACCATTGCAATCCTTTTTCTCCAGATCTTGCTTTGACATCATCTCTATCAATTGCTTGGCAATCTCATCTTTCTCGGCCTTGATTGTAACGTGAAGAGCAGTTTCACCAAAGCCTGTAATTGATGGAAATGTTGGATGCTTGTCCAAAACATGCCTTGCAACTTTCTGATCTCCATGGTAAAGTCTCTTTACCAACTTTACAAATTCTTCACTATTAACTCCTGCATTGCGAATAATTAAGATATCAAAATCATTATCAACAATAATAATAATACATCAAATATAATTGAATTAATGTGGATCGGATGTTTGATAAAAAACAAGTGAGGTCTTTTTTGTGGATAAAAAATATAGGGAAAGGAGGAAGTTTTACTTTTTCGGATTGGATTCTAAATCCCAATGGTTGTAAAATCTCCTAAGGGACCATACAATATGCCATCAATTGGCAAGGCAACGTTTGAGTCAGATATTTTGTATGCTTTTTTGATGTAAATGGGTTTGAGTATCACTTATACTCAAAAATATAATTTTTTTTTTTTGCCTTTCAATAAAAAAATATAATTGAATTATAATGATCTTTTAATAATTAGGACATTAATCAAATCAAATAATACTTCATAAGACAGTATATATATATAGAGTTGGGTTCGATCGGATTGATTCTCTTCAAATCAGTATTACCTCTACCCAATCCTTCCACGCTGGTTTCTGTTTTTGCTTTGGATTTTGGTCGCCCTTCATGCATTGTTTGATCAACTTCTTCCCCTGCATGTGAATTAATTAAGAGATATCAATTGAATTATAGATACCTCATCAAACACCGATTGATTAGTAATCCCTTCAAATCAACATTGTTACTTTATTTTTATTATTACCTCTTACCAACCCCTCCACCCCTGTTTCTGCTTCCTCGTCAGGATGTTGCCACTCTTCATGCATTTTGGCTATATGATTCCAGGCATCCTTGGCCGAGCTGTCCTTTATTTGACTAAAAATATCTTGTGAACAGGTAGAGAGAATTGCATGTAGAGCTGCAGCATTTTTTTTCCTCCAATTCCCCTCCTGAGTATTCCCATATTCAACAATATCCCAAAGATCTTGAGCCAATAAATAGTTTTTAACATAAACTTTCCAATCTTCATAATTGTTTTTATCTTTTTCAAGAAGAAAAGGTGCGATTGCAGTACTTGAGTCGCTGCAGCTTATTGTCTCCATTTCAAATCTATCAAATAAAACCATAAAAAGTATAATCTTAATTAGATCATCATATTCTAATTAACATCCCTCCGGCTATATAATAAATTAATGATCCAAAACTCAATCAAGGCAACCTTTTTTTATCGACACCAAGCAAAATGCCCTGGCATACAGCATATATAATAAATAATTCTACCTTCAAAGAATAAATTTCTTTGAATATAGTCAATTATCTAAATAATTTAATAGTAACTTATTGTAAAACAAAAAATTCTAACTTTGAGTGACATGATATGCAAGTAAGGTGAGTTATAGAATTAAAGAAGTTGCTTCCCATTAGGCAATCAAAGATCTAAAAAAAAAAAAAAATCTTTCTTTGCATACACCTTCCTTTTAAGTTACCGTTTTGGTTGGCACAATTATTAAAGGTTCATTTATGGTTGCAATATAATTTTTAGTTTTTTTTTTTCCTTTTTTAAATTTTGATTTATTTTTTGGTTGTAAACCTATTAAGTATATTTTCTCATATAATACTCAAAATTGAAAACATTAATTATTTGTTAAACTTGTCCTATGAACTTGAGTTTTAAATTAAAAATTTTAAAACCACACTCATATTAAATGGATACTCAAACAAAAAAAAAAAAGAAAATCATGATTAATGCAAAGAATTCATGATAAGAGAGAATATAGAGCTTTAAAACGTAAAGAATTAATCTTCATAGAAGAATTTACGTATAGATCCTAATTAGTTGCCATACATCCATTGGTCAATCAGTAATTCACTATTGTGGAGACCTACTTGTTTGGAGGTCAACCCACTGTATATACTCTTTGTACAGAAATCGAAATGAAATGTCATAAAGACATAAATAAAATAGAAGATATAGTCTAAGAATACAACTTCATTTACTTACTATGGAAGAGACTGATTATATGATCTAGCGTTCTTGTGAGTAGTCGAGGCTAAACTATATATAATGTATGAGACTTATGCATTGCCTGGAGCTTATAGTTCTAAAGAGAAAAACAATAAAAACGATAAAAAAAAAATGGAAAAATAAAATTGCAAGAGGTGGGTTTTTGTGTTGCTGGGAGTTTTATTGTGAGATTTGTGTGCGTGAGGAAAGAGTTTAGTGAGGGTGAGACCAAGGGAAACTGGAAATC